CTCACACACACACACACACACAAACACACACACACACTCACACTCACATACACACGCACACACATTCTCTTGTCTATCATTGATGGGGAGCGCCACCTGCTGGAAACTGGGTCCAGCATCCCATGAACATCGTGAATAAAGCACCAATCGGGACCCCCCACACACTCTCTTCGAGTTGTGAATAGTGAACACAACAAAATATACATACAGCATAATCATCACCTTACCCTTCACGAACCACATCAACAAACGAACTACGGGCTGCGCACCCGTGCCCTCACGGTAAGTCAATAGCAATATGACCGTGCCACCCTTTGAGCTCTGACTATTGCCAACTGTTTTCACTCTTTACAGAGACGATTATTGGCTAGAGATGACAGCCTCTCTCCTGTAGGTGGTTTTGCTTGCGGGGGGAGGGCTTTGCAGTTGTAACTCTGGATTAGCATTGCAACATTTTCCGCTATGGAAATTTTTTCTTTTCCTTGCTTGGGCCATTGTTCTCTGGATTGGCATCTCACCGAACGCCCACTGTGGGAAGTGACTTGCGTGACATTTTCCTTTCTGCTGATGGCATGGGTGAAGTAGTTTTGAAGTGTGCGAACAAGTATCTGGCACGTATATGCCGCTCGCTGGTGACTTTGTAGGGTTTAGGCAATCGGTGAGCGTGTTGGGCAGGCGTACCCGCGCTGAGGATACTGTGATTTGCTCGTCAGTCGGTATCAGGAAAAAGGATGTTCGCAGCCCTTAGGCTGCGGTATAGTGGGCTTCGGCGTCTGTGTCAAGGTGTCACATTTTTGGCTGCGGGCAACCAGGACGCAAAGTGGGTTCTTAGGGGACAAAAAAATTTGGGGGACTGGTCCTTGCCAAAATTGCGGACTACCCACAGCTAGCTCTGGTAGAACCGGGACTTTTGGAAAAACGAAGGACTGGTCCTCGAGTAGAAGTGGACCCCAAAAAGAAGTGAGATTGGACCGGTCCTCGTGTAGAAGCGGACCCCAAAAAGAAGTGAGGGCATGTGAACTGCAAAAGGGCCCTTAGGCCCAGGCGTTGAGCCCTGTCTTCTCAAAACAGGGAGGTCAGGCACAACAAAACAGGCGTTTTGCAAGAGGCAACTTTGGCGATTTTCTGTGCTCAGACAAACATGCACAAAAATCTGAAATTTTGAGAATCCATAGATGAGGTTGTGTTCTTTCCAGAAATAATAGTAGAACATTTACAAAAAATCATTTAGACTGTGAAATAATCGTCGAGCCAATTCAGCACATTTTCCATTTTTGCCACTCCGCCATGCTTGGGCCAACTGAAAAAGTACTCCAAATTCAGTGAGTTTTTGCGCTTAGAAGAATGCGTGAAAAAACCTTAAAATTGGAGTACTCGTAGATTTTGTTAGCAGCCCTAAGGCTGTGGTATAGTGCGGCTTTTGCGTATGTGTCAAGGTGTCACATTTTTGGCGGCGGGCGACCAGGACGCAAAGTGGGTTCTTAGGGGGCAAAAAAATTTGGGGGACCGGTCCTTGGCAAAACTGCGGACTACCTACAGCTAGCTCTGCTAGAACCGGGACTTT